GTGAGAAAATTGAAGCACAGAGATGTCAAATAATTTCCCTGCAGGTGGCACTGGACAGTGAGGACCATCTGGTACCCACGTCCTTGACTTCACTTCAGGAAGGAATTCAGGACTGAGTTGGAGAATAGTGAATAGCAAGCAACAAGCATTTTATCAAGAAAGAACATACTCATTCCACAGGGTGGAGCCTACTTGGAGAGAAGTGGCACTGTCTGCAAATTGTGTTTAATATTATATGGGTTTCTCAATAAAAGGGGATGTATATTCTAATAATGGAAGGTATATTCTAATGAGGGGGAGGAATATTTCCTGGATTCTAGCTCCCACCCCTTTTGGCTACTTACATGCTCTGACGTTTCCTGTCATGGCAGCTGGTAGGTGCATCATTTCACATGCTAACGTATTACAATGAACATATAATGAGCCCTAGGTCAGTCTAGAACAGTCTTGACCCCCTAAAGTGATGTAAGCCTGGTTTAGCCGGGATGGGGGAGGGGGGGAGGGGGTAGTGTCTGTTTATCTTCAGAGCAAGAATCAAATCCTTATCCTGTAGGTTGGGGAGGGGAATCTTTTGTCTGCCAAGGGTCATTTAGATATTTATAACATCATCCACGGGCCATATAAAATTATAAACTTAAAAATTAGCCTGCTATGGATTTACTGAATTTCAAGTTCCACAGGCAGTTGTCATGGCAGGGCTAGACCAAATGATTTCACAGGCCTTACATGGCCTGCAGGCCAGATGTTCTCCACCCTGCTGTAAGAGCTCGGATACCAGGAAGCGTTATCTCCAGGTGATTCACCTGCTTCCTCTGCCTCCCTGTCTGAAACAGTAGAAGGGGAAAGCTGACATTCACATCGCAGGCTGGACCTCAGTTTACTCAGCTTTAGTGACAGTGATAACCACCAGCACAGTCTGGCATACAGTAGGCACTCAATGAACACCCACCTAGCAGAACTCAAACATTACTGTAACACAGACAGAATAAAAAATATTTTGCTGGAGATACTACAAGCAAAGACAGGAGGAAGTTCATTCACTTCCAGGCTCACTAAGAGCCTAGAACAGGTGAACCCTTGAAGGGATAAGGGGAGAAAAAGGCATTTCAGGTTGAGGAGAGCTTAAGACCTGTGTAACAATGATGTAGTCTGATAGGACAGTTGCCATCTAGCAATCCTATTTGCTGGTTATAGATTTTTTTAAAAAAGATTTATTTTATTTATTTGAAAGAGTTACAGAGAGAGGTAGAGACAGAGAGGGGTCTTCCATCTGCTGGTTCACTTCCCCAGATGGCCGCATCTGAAGCCAGGAGGTTCTTCCAGGTCTCCCACATGGGTGCTTTTTTTCCACTGCTTTCCCAGGCACATTAGCAGGGAGTTGGATCAGAAGTGGAGCAGCCGAGACTCCAACCGGCACCTATATGGGATGCTGGCACTGCAGGTGGCAGCTTTACCTGCTATGCCACAGCACTGGCCCAGGTTACAGGTATTTAAACAGACCAAAACAGGCATTCATTCATTTGTTACACTGTGCATATAAAACAAGTACTAAAAAGAACAACACATTCAGTAATTTCCATCCCATAGGTAACTAAAAGGAAATAATAGGCACCTCCCAGAGGTAATAGGGAACAAGCTGCATGCATATATGTATGTATGACAAGAACCTGATCTTAGAGGAAAAAAATCTTGTCCACAAAAGCACCCAGGAAAATCACTCACCCACTCACACGCCCAAACTGTACCAATATGTCATTCAGCCTAAACATCTCAGGCTTTTCTGTCTTTTGCAGCCCTTATGGCACTCAGCAAAGCCTGACAAACAATAGTTGATCTCTAGAAAGACAGGCTAATTCTCATTAGTAATGGATCCCAAATCTAAGACTCTGGGTGACCAAAAATTATCAGTATCCTGGGCAGATTATAGTAAAACTGAAAGAATCAAGATTTTTCTGAGGATTACATTTTTCTAAGTACCTGAGATTCACTAACCCTCAAAAGAACAAATTGTGGTACTTAAATGCAATGCTCCAATTTTGCCACACCAACCTTAATGTACAGAGAAGTTTAATGCTTTAAACCTTCACACCTTCTTCCATATTTCCAATTTCAAAGAAAGAAAACAGCTTCAAGCTAATCTTAGGATCAGCAGAGTATATTAAATGATTCTATAATAAAGTTTTCAAACCTAATTTAGTAAGAATTCCCCTTCAAATTCCTTTAAACAAATTTAAATTCCAGATAAATTAAAAGTCCAACCATAGAGCCCCCCTCCTCTCATTAGTTTGACAAAAATCTAAATAATCTACTATTTAAATTCTCAACCAAACAAAATTGTGGGGTCAGCACTGTGGCACAGCAGATAAAAGCTCCCACCTGCAGCACCAGCATCCCATATGGGCTCCAGTTCTGATCCAGCTCCCTGCTAATGCATCTGGGAAAGCAGCAGAAGGTGGCACAAGTGTTTGGGTCCCTGCACCCACGTGGGAAACCTGGATGAAGCTGCTGGCTGGCCCAGCCCTGGCCGTTGCAGCCATTTGGAGGAATGAACCAGTGGATGGAAGATCTCTTTCTCTCTGCCTCTGCCTCTCTGTAACTCTAACTTTCAAATACAATAAGTAAATCTTTAACAAAGAAAACTGCAGCCTCTCCTTCCTGATATTTTATTCTATAAGGTCCCTCTGCCAGAGAGGGCTAGCTCTGCTGGGTGGGTTCTGGGTTCTTCCCCAGCAAGATGAAGATCAAGTTTTTCAAGTAAAACAGATGAAAACAGAAGTACATATTTAATAAATAGCTATGTGTACCACTACTCTGTAGTATTTATGGAATTCTGCCATTGGAAAAAATGCAACGAAAAACACAAACTGTAAGTGATTTTAGTCATCCCTTCCTTCTACAAATGATGCAAGGACAGGTTAAATGACTAAAGAACACTTCCCTGGGGCCAGAGCTGTGGCAGAGCAGGTTAAGCTGCCATGCCTGTTCGAGTCCCGGCTGCTCTACTTCCAATCCAACTTCCTGCTAATGCACCTGGGAAGGCAGTTATGGTTACGATGGCCCAAGAGCTTGGGCCCCTGCCACTCGCAGGGGAGACCTAGATGGAGGTCCAGGCTCCTGGCTCCCCCTGGGCTGGGCTGTTGTGGACCTTTGGGGAGTAAAGCAGAGATGGAAGATCTGTCTCTCCCTCTCTCTAGAGTTCTGCCTTTCAAATAAGTAAAACAAATAAATCTTTTTTTTTTTTTTTTTTTTTTTTTTTTTTTGACAGAGTGGACAGTGAGACAGAGAGACAGAGAGAGAAAGGTCTTCCTTTGCCGTTGGATCACTCTCCAATGGCCGCCGCTGCAGCCGGCGCACCGCGCTGATCCGATGGCAGGAGCCAGGATCCAGGTGCTTTTCCTGGTCTCCCATGGGGTGCAGGGCCCAAGCACCTGGGCCATCCTCCACTGCACTCCCTGGCCATAGCAGAGAGCTGGCCTGGAAGAGGGGCAACCGGGACAGAATCCGGCGCCCCAACCGGGACTAGAACCCGGTGTGCCGGCGCCGCAAGGTGGAGGATTAGCCTATTGAGCCACGGCGCCGGCTCAACAAATAAATCTTTACAAAATGTATTTTTAAAGATTCATTCATTTATTTGAGAGGTAGAGTTACAGAGAGAGGGAAAGACAGAAGTCTTCCATCTGCTGGTTCACTCTCCAAATGGTCTCAACACTGGGGCTGGACCAGAAAGAAGCCAGGAGCTTCTTCTGGGTCTTCGACGTGGGTGCAGGGGCCCAAGCACTTGGGCCATCTTCCACTGTTTTCCCAGGCGCATTAGCAGGGAGCTGGATCAGAAGTGGAGCAGCCGGCACACCAAATGGTGCCCATGTGGGATGCCCACCAGCCCTTACAAAATGTACTTTTTAAAAACATTTCCCTAGAATCCTTTCCATTCCTCCGTTCACTTTATAAAAAATACTCATATCTTCTCTATGTGATAATTCATCAATTTTCTAAGATTTTTGCAGGTTTTTTTTGACGGGGTGCATGTTAAGACTGAGGTAAAAACAATGTTTAAAAATAGTGCACATTAATTAAAAAAAAATGTTGCCAGGAAAAAAAAATAGCATGAAATTGGTTTCCCCCACACTACCTGCAATCACTTTACAGAGAACCAGAAGACTGGGAGACCTGCTTCTCAATTCTACCGAATTTGGTTTACATGTACTGAAATACTGCACTGTACCCCCATAAAACATCCAAGTACGACTTATTAATCAAAAATTTACAAAACAAATTCTATCGATTATGATCTCAATCTCACCCCGGCCTCGCAGGTTTCTGGGCAGCCAGTACGGGGACCAGCTAGCTCTACATGGCTGCAGCCTCAGCGGCTGGGAGACGCTTCCGCCGCGCTGCACGTGAGGGGGCCGCGGCCGGGCCAGACACCTGGGCATCACACCCGAGACCGAGGAGCGCGCCTCGGCGGGGGCAGGGGGACGCCAGCCCGGGGCACACGCTGCCCGTCCGCGCCGGTGGTGCCCCACCCCCACCCCGCTCCCCGGGACGCCACCTGCGCGGCGGGCGGCGGGCTGCGGCTGCCTCACGTTCGCATTTCCCAGGATGCAGAGAAGGCGCGCGCAGGCTGGGGCGACCCCCTGGAGCCCGCCAGGTCCATCCCAGCCCCCCACACGGCGGCTGCTCCTCGAGGACTGGGGCCAACCCTCCAAGCCTCAAACCTTTAAGGCACCAAGCGTGGGCCTCGACACCTCCATCCCACTCTTGCCCATCCATCCTAAGCCACCCTCAAGGGCACCCCCTCACTCAAGCCACCCCAGGCGGGGACCGCGCGACTCGCACAGCGACAAGAGGGGCCCCTCGGTCCCGCGCCCAGTCGACCCCAGTCAGGGAAAGGACGTTTACGCCCCGCCCCCGCTTCCAACCTTCGAGGACCCCCCCCCCCCCGCCCCGCCTCCCTGGGCGCCCGAAGCCCGCACGCGCTCAGGGAACTCTGCGGGCCCTACCAGGTGGCCGTTGGTTGGGAGGCGAGGTTCGCACCGCGCTGGGTTCGGCCAACCTTCCCAGGAGCAAGGTGCCCCGCGCAGCCACCTCAGCTCGGGCTCCTGACCCAACACCGCCACCGCGCTCCATCGGGCTGCGCCGGCCGCACAGGCGCACTGCCCGGCTCTCCGCGCCGCACCGGACCCGCGCGCGCCCGCATGCGCAAGCGCTCTCACACGGTGAGCGCCGTCCTTACACCAGCCCACCGCGGCGCACCGGACCCTCGCGCACCCGCATGCGCACAGCTTCCCACACAGAGCGCGCACAGGGCGTGCATGTGCGATGTGCGTACTGGGTTTTTATGCAGCGCACGCATAGCGTGCATATATTGTGGGCACAGCAGTCCTCACGCAGCGCGCACATGCATCCTTACACACTGCCGAACAAACACAGTGCATATACACACCGGTGCATCCTTCCAGGGTGCGCATCAGTAGGAAACTGGATTGGAAGCGGAGGAGCTGGGAATCAAACCAGGCACTCCAATATGGGATATGGGCATGCCAAGCCATGGCTTAACTGCTGTGCCAAACGCCTGCCCTTCAATTTCTTAAAAATGAAGCTGCAACTCTCAGGAACCAGCATTCGGACTCTCAGTAAAAAGCTTGGAAACAGTTCCTTTCTGGCACAAAAATGTTTCTGTGATTAATGTGTTCCTGACACACCCAGAGGTGTGCCTGAAATAGGGCGCTGTAGTGAGAAAGCCAGAAAGGGAGTTAAGATAGACACAAATTAGCAGGGAAACGGGCAAGTCAGGGCTCGTGCCTGGAGTTGTAATGTTCAGTTCAGTTTCTAACCCAGTAAGATAGAGTCAAGTCAATGTGACAATAGGTACTATCACTTTTCCCTTCCTTTTCTTAGGGATATTGGGTACTAAATTTAATTCTTTCAACTAAAGTTCATGACCTGCTGATATCTCAGTAAATACTACTTTTTTTTAAGATTTTATTTATTTATTTGAGAGGTAGAGTGAGAGGGAGAGAGAGAGAAAGGTCTTTCATCTGTTGCTTCACGCCCCAAACAGCCACAACGGAGCTATGCTGACCCGAAGCCAGGAACCAGGAGCTTCTTCCAGGTCCCCACGCAGGTGCAGAGGTCCAAGGACTCGGGCCATCCTCCACTGCTTTCCCAGGCCACAGCAGAGAGCTGGATCGGAAGAGGAGCAGCCGGGACTAGAACCGGCGCCCATATGGGGTGCCAGTATCGCAGGCGGAGGATTAACCTAGTGCGCCATGGCGCTGGCCCCAGTAAATACTTCTATACTTTTTAGGGAAATATCCCATCTGCTGATCCCATGTGATTCCTCACATGTCTACAACAGCCAAGCACTTGGGCCTTAACCTGCTGCCTGCCAAAGAACAGGAAGCAGGAATTGGGAACAGAGCTGGTACTCCAACCAAGGCACTCCAATATGGAATATGGGCATCTCAAACCAGCAGCTTACCCTTAGACCAACCACCCATCCTCTTCTCTAGCTTTACTTAAAAAAAAAAATCTGCTTTTATTTTTACTCCCTCTCCCTAGTCATAAACACTTTTTCTCATATATGTGAGGCTCTAGTTTTGAAAGATAGTGTTGTGAAGATAGGCATCTGTTTTCTTTTTTAAAGATTTTATCTATTTATTTGAAAGGCAGAGATACCCAGAGAGAGGAGAGAAAGAGAATGCTTCCATCCTCTGCTTCACTCTCCAAATGGCCCCAATGGGGTAGGCCAGGCCAGGCTGAAGCCAGGAACCAGGAGTTTCTTCCAGGTCTCTGTCCTCCCCCACTTTAATTTTTGCAGTGACATTTTTAATTTACATTACAGTCAAGGGCTTAATATTCCACCAAGTAAAAAGTTTAACACTTTTTTCTTGTTGATTTCCAGGAGTTTCCTATATTCTAGGTACTTCCTGTGAGTCTAAGTGTTGCAGATCCTTCACCCTAATTAAGCTTTTATAAGATCAGCAACTTTCCCTAATTTTTTTATCCAAAATCATTTTAATATTTTAATTCCATCATTGGGTCTATTACCTTCCTACGTCTTTTTTTTATCCTCAATCTTTGACAGTATGTTATATACAAATACTTCCAAGTGTTTTTCCTGAGATTAAAGACATTGTCTTACATGACCAACCACACTACTTACCAACTCCACTAAATTTTAAGAGCTAATTTTAGCTGGCGCTGCAGCTCACTAGGCTAATCCTTGTCCTGCGGCGCCGGCACACCGGGTTCTAGTCCCGGTTGCCCCTCTTCCAGTCCAGCTCTCTGCTGTGGCCCGGGAGTGCAGTGGAGGATGGCCCAAGTGCCTGGGCCCTGCACCTGCATGGGAGTCCAGGAGAAGCACCTGGCTCCCGGCTTAGGATCGGCGCAGCGCGCCGGCCGTGGCAGCCATTTGGGGGGTGATCCAACGGAAGGAAGACCTTTCTAACTCTGCCTGTCCAAAAAAAAAAAAAAAAGAGCTAATTTCACCAAATTGGCTGCCAGCTTCTTCACTGCAGAGGTACTGTTTTTCCCTTGCAATAAGCAAGCTCTGGGGAGGCATGTTAAAGTCATCGTCAAAACTTCATCTCGGCCGGCACCGCAGCTCACTAGGCTAATCCTCTGCCTAGCGGCGCCGGCACACTGGGTTCTAGTCCCAGTTGGGGCGCCGGATTCTGTCCTGGTTGCCCCTCTTCCAGGCCAGCTCTCTGCTGTGGCCCGGGAGCGCAGTGGAGGATGGCCCAAGTGCTTGGGCCTTGCATCCCATGGGAGACCAGGAGAAGCACTTGGCTCCTGGCTTTGGATCAGCGCGGTGCGCCGGCCGCAGCACGCCAGCTGCTGCGGCCTTTGGAGGGTGAACCAACGGCAAAGGAAGACCTTTCTCTCTGTCTCTCTCTCACTGTCCACTCTGCCTGTCAAAAAAAAAAAAAAAAAAAGCTTCATCTCAAAGTGATGAGCATTTGGCAATGGTTAAGACACCACCTGGGTGGGAGACATGCATCCCGTATCAAAGCACCCAGGTTCTAGCCCTGTTCTCCCAAATCCAGCTTCTGCTAATGCACACCCTGGAAAGAAGCTGGTGATGGCTCCAATTCTTGGATTCCTGCCACCCCCATTCTACCCCCATCCTAGACTGAGTTCCCACTTCTCAGTGTTGGCCTTGCCTACTTCTGGCTGTTGAGGGCATGTGGGGAGTGAACCCCTTTCAAATAAATGAAATTTCTCTCGGGGCTGGTGTTGTGGTGCAGTGGGTGAAGTCAGCCTGTGACACTGGCATCCCCTATGAACACTGCTTTCAGTGCTGGCTGCTCCACTTTCCATCCAGCACCCTGCTAATGCGCCTAGGAAGGCAGCGAAAATGGCCCAACTACTTGGGCCCCTGCACCCACATGGGAGAACAGGATGGAGTTCCAGGCTCCTGGCTTCGGCCTGGCCCAGTCATGGCCATTGCATCCACTTGGGGAGTGAACCAGTGGATGGAAGACCTTTAACCTTCTCTCACTCTATCTTTCAAAAAAATAAAAAATAAAGCTTAAAAAATAAACTTTTCTCAAGTCTGAACATCCACTGTGGCTCTTGCTTGATCCAATCTTTCTCATGAAAATTATAAAAGGATAAAAACCCATCAAATCTTCACCTTATGGTCTGTGCTTCAACAGGTCTTGTTTAATACACACCCCTTAGCTCCAAGATCATCAATATTTTCCTCCATGTTTACAAATCTACCGGTTTTGTTTTTTTTTTAAATGACGGAGTAGACCTCCTGTCTATTATGGCTTACAAGAGAGCAACCTACTATCTGTTTCCTCTTTGCACTTTAAAAATTGTCTTAGACATTCATAATTCCCATATCCCAAATGTTTTCCTAACTCCCCACTCCCAGATCTGGCTGTAGTATTAATTTGAATTATATTGAAGTAAAAAATTAATTTGGGGAGAGCTGGCATTTTTATAATCAGACTACTCATGAATACGATATCTGAGCCTTTTTAAAAAAATGACATTAAGTAGTTTTCTATTTTTTTTCTATTATACTAACTTCCTAAAAACCGGTAGGTACAGTTAAATAGTGTCTTAGAACCTACTATATCATTTATAGTATAGTGTTAGGCTGCCACAGCAATCTCCAATTTTCTGGTCTCAAAACCACTTAACGGCAGGGATCAGCAACCTAAGGTCCATGGGCCCAACACTGTCCTCTGTTTCTGTCAATAAAGTTTTATCCAAAGTGGCCATGCTCATTTCTTTATGGCTGCTTTTGCACTACAATGACAGAATGGGGTAGTTGTAACACACACCACACATGGCCTGTGAAGCCTGAAATAATCACTACCTGGTCCTCCACCCCAAGTTTGGAAATTCCTATCTTATATTTAAACACTGAGAATCACAAAGAATTTTTTCTATCTGCTAATGGTACACAGAAATTAAAAACTCTAATTTATTTGATAAAGTACAAATATATCATTGGTAACATATGACAAAAATGTCATTTTCTTTGAAATGGTAAGCTCACCTGCGAGCTGTATCAACCTTGACTGTATTAGAAATTTCACAAACTGATTAGTACTTAATAACAAACCCAATACATTAACATCAGTAACACAAAATCATGCATTGCTTGACATGAGTCTATGTCCTGAGAAAAACAATGTTAGGCGACCTCATCCCTGTGCAAACATCATACTGTATTTACACAAACTAAGCTGGCCATGACATCAGCGTGAACTACGCAATACATGATTGTACTTTTAATGAAAACTAATAAAAAACTCAAAATTTGAAATGGCACGGTTTCATATTCTCACAAACATCTACTCTGGCTTAGAAGACAGTCTTAAATCTGCTTTTGGATTCAATTTGTTGTGACATGTTGCTTTGATGAAAACATGAAAAAACTTTGCCTCAGAGGTACTTATTTGGAAAACGGAGTATTTTAACCAAGTCCCAAGTTTTCAATTCTGTGACTATTTCCACGACAGAGTTACTTCAAAGTTATCTTAAGTGCTATATTTACTGCTGTTTAAGTCTTTATTGATGTCTTTGCTATAGGTGGATGGAACATATGGGTGAATAGTTACGTTCTTTGATGCTACAATCTTTTTCTAAGATTTATGTATTTGAGAGGTAGAGACAGAGAGGTCTTCCATCCACTGGTTGACTCCCCAATGGTCGCAATGGCCAGAAGCCAGGAGTTTGTTCTGGGTCTCCCACGTGGGTAGTGAATCGTTGCCCATACAGGACACCAGC